CTGTTTTATTCATTGTATGAGCTAAGGATATATTCAGTGAATGAGGTGATGGTTCAGTTAACTTGGAGTCTGTTCCAGCTCAGCTGCTGCCTGGAGTGTTATTGCTTGCAAAGTGGCCCAGTCAGCATGGGCCTCTGTTGAAGTGCTACACTAACTCCTTTTAAGAGTGGAGGTAGGCTGAGGCCCAGTGGCTCATGCCTGTAATCCCAGCACTTTGGGAGGTCGAGGAATGCGAATTGCTTGAGCCCAGGAGCTCAAGACCAGCCTGGCCAATATGGTGAAATCCCATCTCTACAACAACTACAAAAATTAGCTGGGTGTGATGGCATGCACCAGTGGTCCCAGCTACTTTGGAGGATGAGATGGGAGAATCACTTATGCCCAGGAGGCAGAAATTGCAGTGAGCCAAAATTGTGCCACTGCACCCCAACCTGGGAGACAGAGTGAGGCCCTGTCTCAAAAAAAAAAAAAAAAAAAAAAAAAAAAGGAGTGGTGGTGAAGCTTGAATGAGACAACATATGGAAGGTTGCTGAGGAACGTACCAGAATAGTGGAAGCAAGTACTATAGAGTGGTTACTGCTACCAATAGTAGTCTCTCTCTTAGAAGCAGGGAGAAGTTTCTTGTCACTTCAGGGAGTGGTGGTTAAACTGATGACATTGCCGAATTTACCAGAATTACCCCCATATAAAATGCTCTCATTCATTGCTCCCAATCTTAGCCTTGTGTTTGCCATGCTGTGTACCCTAATGTTTTTATTGGAACATTTAAATTATAGTAGGCAATCAAATGTAGGCGATTCTAAGAAGAAAAGGGCCACACTGACTTTAGCAAAACTAACAAAAATTTCCTAGTTGAAGACACTTACTTTGCCAAGAGACTTTAATGCCCTAAAGAGTAGCGAGCTTCACTTACCCCTGCAAAAGTAATTTTCGAAATGGAAAGAAGTAAACTAGAAATTCATTATGATGCAATCTGTGGACCTGTGATTTTTTACTTCTTTATAGATAAATATACATTTAAATCACTTGCAATTTCAGTACATACAACTTCTGCAAATGGTAAGACAAAACAATCCAGTTTATTCAGAATTCTGCTTTTATCTACAATTACATTGAGGCAGATTTTCTTACATTCTGTCATTTATATAGCAGTTAATGGAAAGTACATGGACTTTGGCATTCTCTAGATGAGGCTTCAAATTCCAGCTTTGCTACTTAACAGCTGAGGGGGCATGAGAAAATTATTTAACCTGGAACTGAGTTTACTCATATGAATATGTCTTACATAAAGCTCTGGTTTTAGAGCTTGTCTAAGAATAGAGTCACAGTCAGGTAAACCTAGTGCCACTGACAGCACAGGTTTTCTTGACTGTGACATGATTTAACAAGGGAGCCCATTTAATTGCATTTAGCCCAGACGTTCCCAAATGTTTTTCCTTATAAAATCTGTTAATATGTTACAGAATTGGTATTCCATAAAGAACCCTGTGGGAAATCCTGGCTTGCAATAATGCCAGACATATTTAACGTAAGAAATCAATTTCGCTTCTCTTTTCCAGTTTAGTGTCAGCCAGTCAGAATTTTCACCTAGACACCTACCAGACAACTTAAAGTAGATCTTTTGGGGTTTTGTGCCTTCACACCCTCCATCCCAACTCCTTCCATAGTCTTCCCAATCTCCAGTAATGACCCCACTATTGATGTATTAGTTTCCTAGGGATGCTGTAACAAAATACCACCATTTGGGTGGCTTAAAACAGACATTTATTGTATCAGTTCTGAATGCTAGAGTCCATCATTAATGTGTCATCAGGGCTGTGCTCCTTCTGAACCTTGTAGGCTAGGATCTTCCCTTCCTCTTCAAGCTATTGGTGTTCGGCTGGCACTCCTTGGCTTGTAGATAATGTCACTTAGTGTCTGCCTCTGTTGTCACATGGCATTCTCCTCTATAGTTCCCTCCTCCTATTATAAGGACTTCAGTTATATTGGATGAAAGCCCTGCCCTACTCTAACTCCAGTATAATCTCATTGTAGCTAATTATTAGGTTGGTGCAAAATTACTTTTAATTAAAAGTAATGGCAAAAACTGCAATTACTTTTGCATCAACCTTGCAAAGACCCTATTTTCAAATAAGGTCATATTCTGAGGCGCTTGGAGTTAGGACTTCAAAGTGTCTTCAACTGAGCGCATAATAATCCATGTAGTCACTCTGGGCAGAAAACAGGTGCCATCTTTGCACTTCTTTTCTTTCCCTCAGCCATTTTATCTGGTCTATGAGCAAATACTCTTAGTTCTGCCTTCAAAATGTAGCTAACCCTTTCTCATTACCTCCCCTGCTACTCCTTGACCCCAGCCTTTGTCATCTCTCCTGTATTATAACCTCGGCATCTTATTAGGTATCCTGGTTCCATCCCGATTTTCCTTATGTCTACTTGTTAGATAGCAACCAGAGCAGTCATGTCACAGTAAAACAGTTGCTATTCTTCCCTTACTCAAAACCCTCTGATGGTCTCTCATTATCCTTAGAGTAAAATGCTAACACCGATGAAGGAAGATAAGCTCTCCATGCTCCACCATATCCATTTCCCCAGCCTCACTGTGTACCAACCCCTCTGATGGTCTCTCATTATCCTTAGAGTAAAATGCTAACACCGATGAAGGAAGATAAGCTCTCCATGCTCCACCATATCCATTTCCCCAGCCTCACTGTGTACCAACCCCTCTGTGATTGACCTTGCCCACAACCCACAGTAAGCACCTGCCTGTACCTCAGGGCCTTTGCACTATTTCCTTAAGCCTGGCTCCCTCTCATCTCAGATCATCTACCCAGAGAGGAGTTTCGCACTGATTGTTAGCTGAAACACTTGCACCCCATCCGGCAAAGGCCAGAGAACGTTTTTTTGTTTTTAAAATTATTTTTATTACTACCTTTTTTTTTTTTTTTTTTTTTTTTTTGAGACAGTCTCAGTCTGTCACCCAGGCTGGAGTGCAGTGGTGCAATCTCAGCTGATACAACATCTGCCTCCTGGGTTCAAGTGATTCTCATGCCTCAACCTCATGAGTAGCTGGGATTACAGGTGTACACCACTACACCTGGCTAATTTTTGTATTTTTAGTAAAGACAGGGTTTCACTATGGTGGCCAGGCTGGTCTTAAACTCTTGACCTCAAGTGATCTGCCTGCCTCGGCCTCCCTAAGTGCTGGGATTACAGGCGTGAGCCATCATGCCTGGCCTAGAGAGAGTTTTGTCACCAGTCATGAAGTGAAGCTTTCAGAAAACAAAAGGAGAGAAACAGGAAAGAGATAGCTGCTCCTGGGAGAGAAAGGATCAGTAACTAATGGTCCCCCCAAATCAGATTTATGTACAAGTCACAATTTAAACAAATGATTTTCTTGTGCTAATCTGAATTTGGAAAGGAAATTCCTAACTAGAAGAAGAGATCTGAGAGAGCTGATTTTTGGTAAGAAAACAAAAAAAAGCAAAAAAAATCTTAAGCTTTGTTGTTTTTCAGTTAGTTGTCCCAGATTGTCATCTGCAGGTTCTGATACTATTGGGGGTGTCAGCCACTCCATGTTGCCTGCCAGAAACTGTAAGGGGAAAGAATCTTTTTCTCATCTATCACAAGGTTCACAGCTGAGACCCCATAACAAATAAAAAGAAAAAAAAAAAAGATTAAATAAGTACAGTATAAAAGTTGTATTTAATATAAATTCCCAATGACACAGAATCCTGCAGAATACAAAGCCCCACAGACCCAGGGAAAACTGTGTGTCTTTAGGGACATTGTGCAGAGGTGTGATTGGAGGACAAAGGGTGTGATCTATGGTAATGAACGGGGGAACTCATCAAGGTCTGTTCATTCAGATTCTTTTCAGCCTCAGCATGATATTCCTTCCCTCTGGGTATAGGGCAGGACCCTTCTGGAATGAGGGTCTTATGACCTTTCAGGGGAAGTAGGTCAGAGAATTCTTTCATGGCCAGCTCTCAGGAGAAAAAGGGGGAAAAAGGTCAGAGAGCAGCCTTCATGCTTCTGCTTTTCTTTCAGTTTCCTGCACTTTAAAATACTATGCCAAGGTGCTGTTATTTTGGGGTATCATGTTCCTAGCCCTGACACCTCAGTTCCTTGCTTTACCACTTGCTAACTGAACCTGGACAAGTCACTTAAATTTTCTGAGGATCAGTATCTCATCTATAAAATAAGACGACAAGGTAAGGTTATTTCTAACCGTTACCTACCTGGTTAGAAATAAAACATAAAGAATCAGCACAGTTTCTTTTCCATAGTAAGCGTTCAGTATGTGGTAGCTATTAACTGGTATCATGATCACGATGGTGTCTTTAATCACAGGCATGACCCTTCTATTTCAAATCTGTTGAAAAACACTTGGGGATAATGTCTACATTTTACTTTCCACCACATGCCCACTTAAATTTCCCTTCTGGTTGGAGTGGGATTTCAAGGTAAGGCTACAGACTATGGTGTCAGAGTGTATTTTCTCCTCTTCCTGATTTCTCATTCTCTCCCTGCCACATACCTCTAGTTTCCTTTTCCTGCACATCCAAGGCTATGGTGGCAGAGATAAGGATGACTAATTGATTACAGAGATTAAACACCACTGTCTGATACCAGAGAGGGGCCTGTGATAAGGAGACAGGTGTGTCTCAGTGCCACTTCAGCAAAGGGTGCCCTTTATCTTGCATGTCATGAGTGTGTCCTCCTTGGGAAAAGAGTACTTCAAGAGTGTTGTCCAGGATGTCAACATAGTGAGACTCTGTCCCTTAAATAAATAAATAAACTCCTGGTCTCAAGTGATCCTCCCACCTTGGCCTCCCAAAGTGCCGGGATTACAGGCATGAGCCAGTGCTCCTGGCAATAACTTAATTGCAGCTACATGGTTATTACATGAAAGATATGTATCCTTTGATTGGAGTAATTGATAGTGTAAAGTGGGGAAGTGGAAAGGAGTGAAGGGGAGAGCAGAAGTCTGGTTTAAATACCTGCTCTTTATTTCTTTGTCTTCATTCCACAGGTTTTGTTTTTGATTCTTTTTTCATTTGGCAAAACACACACCTCCAGAGGCATTTTCAGGTTTCTTTTCTTGAGGTCTTGCAAATCTGATGATGTTACTGGTAGCTCACATAGGGGAGACCCGGCCAGGATTTTCCCTTTTTGTCTCTTCTGCTGGTCAGGTCGATTGGAATTGGAGTGTGAGCTGATGAGAAGTAGCTCATTTTACCAATAATGAAGATGAGACCAATGTGTGCAGATAAATGTTTAGCATTGGGTCTCTGGGGGGGGGAAAAGAGCCCTGATTTGTGGTGTTTGCTGGTTACTGTGGTGTAAACACTCCTACCATGGTTGATTTCAAGCTACCAACAAGATTACTTAACATGTAGTAGGAAAAATGTCCAGAAGCAAACCATCATATGTATAATCTGTCTACTAGACAGATAAAAAAACATAACTCTAGAACACAGATAATAGTAAAATGTAGAAAAATCATCAGGAAATAAGTTTTGAGATCTTTGAATGTGTTTTAAAATGTAATTTCTTCAATAAGTTTTAACAGTTTAACAGTGGCTCTATTGCACAACTGACTCTCAAAGTTCCTGAAAATTCAACCATCAGCTCTCTTGTTCTGGCTCTAGCATATCAAATGGGACCCAGAGAGGTTGCTGTCTTACACAAAGTCCCCTGATGAGTCATGGCAGGACCTGGATTATTACAGAGCTGTTTCTAAAAACCAAACTTCTCCAGACAGATTTACTTATCAGTGTTTCTGTTTATTCATTTGTTTAGTGACTGCATCCTCTAACAATCTATGAAAGGGATTTAGGACTATTACAGGCTGTTATTATCTACTAAGACATATGAGTCAGAATATTTGAATATATCTAGAACAAAGGAGAATGGGCCAGGCATGGTGGTTCATGCCTGTAATCCCAGCACTTTGGGAGGCCTAGGTGGGAGGATCACCTGAGGTCAGGAGTTTGAGACAAGCCTGGCCAATGTAGTAAAACCCAGTCTCTACTAAAAATACAAAAAATAGCTGGGTATGGTGGTGGGTGCCTCTAATCCCAGCTACTCAGGGGTGGAGGCAAGAGAATCGCTTGAACCCAGGAGGCAGAGGTTGCAATGAGCTCAGATCACACCACTGCACTTCAGCCTGGATGACAGAGTTAGACTCTGTCTCAAAACAAACAAACAAAAAAGGCAAGTGTGGAAAGTCTTTTAGTCTGGCTGACTGTGCTGTGGACACCATGGTAACCTCTCTGAGCTTCACAGACACTCCAGATGAGTTCCTGGAACTGGAAAGCCTTAAGTAACTGAAAGACCACAAAAAGGGGAAGAATGATCAACCCCTGTGGTGCCTAATTAAATTGAGACTTTCGGCCTCAACTGATAAGGCAATTGGACTTTGTAACTGACCTTGGTCAACCTAGTGACTCCAGACCCTACAACCCCCTCCCAGCTTGGAAAAACTGTCCTAAACTGTAGCTTCTGTAATTTTCCACTGCCTATCCCAAACCTATAAAACCAACTCCTATCCGACTACCTGCAGTTGACTGTCTTTTCAGATTCGGCTGGCCCATACCTGGGTGAATAAACAGCCATGTTGCTCACACAAAGCCTGTTTGCAGGGGTCTCTTCATTCAGAGCACATGATTTAACAGAAAGCAGATAAGATTTAGAGCCATAAGTAAATTCTGGCTTTGAGTCTTGGCCTTGTAATGTTGATCAAGTCAGTTACTTCCTGGTTAAAGTTTTCTAGTCTGAAGATGAAGGAATTGGACCACACGAACATTTAATATCTTGTAGGTCTAAAATATCATGGTTCATTACTTAGATTCATCAATTCAATAATATTTGCTTCGTACCAACTGCATGCACTCTCATTATCAACTGTACACCAGGAAGAATGAAATACGAATATATAATATTATAGTATCTTACATTTATGCAGAGCCTTCTGATTTACCGAAGAGAAAATTTACTTTGAGTCTCTGGGATTCTGTGGCTTTAGGAGAGCTGGACACATCTTAACAGAATGTTACAGAGAGGAGAAGCTATTCTAGAAGTACGAATAGAACCTTATTCCTAGGAAACAGAAGAGGTCATAACCAGGTAGTAATAAGGAATAAGGAATATGCACTATTTTTTTTGCCATGTCTAGCAGTTGCTTCACTTTGTTTTTTAAAACAAAGCCCTAAATTATTTTTTTCTAAGATTTTTAATAGAAAATTTAGAAATTAAGAAGTATTAAATAAGGAAAAAATGCCGTATATCCAATCTAATATTCTGGTTTTCTTTCCCTAATAACATTTTATCATATTTTTCAAAACATTCTTAATGGCATTATTTTAATTGCTGTATATATAATAATTTTATCTTTTTGGTATATGGTAACTTATCTGATGTCTTATTGTTGGACATTTTATTTTTTGACTGTTTTAATTATTCTAAAGAGCACTGTGGATAAATAGCTTTGTTCCATGTCAATTTTACGTCGGACACATATCCAACTTTAAGGTTTAGTAAGACAATTTTAGCAAATTACAGACTTTTGACCTTTAGATTCTTTGATTCTGTCAATATTGCTTTTTGTTTACCTAGATGTTATTGTGTTTCTAAACATTAAGAGGAACATTTTATTTGAATTCTTCAATATGATATGTTTGAACTGGAAATAGCACCACTGTTCTGATATTAATTCAGGTAGGTATGACAAAGTGTAAGGTTAACAGTTTTCTTTTTTAACTTTATGTAGGAGATATCCTCTAGTACAAGGTTTGTTGGTTTAGAAATTGCTCAATATATGTTCAATAAACAGAAAGATGCATGCTAATTTAGGATATGCAAAAACATATGAGAGGGTATTAAAAAAAAAGAAACCCCACTTCTTCGTTTGTGATACTAGCTTTCATTCTCATAAGGAGAGGTAATAGCTAAGCACAGTTCAGGAATTCTGGCTTTTGAATGAAAACTGTGAAATGAAATATGTTGGTGCTTTAATTCACCTACATGGGAAACCATGACTCAAATAGTTATTTGATTAAATGTTAATGAGATCTAGGTTGGCCCAATTCTTACTTTTATGTATTAGATTTATATTAATTAAAAAAAGACCAGTTTTACCTCTTTTAAAAATATTAAAAATACAAGGGAAGTGCTGTAACTACCCTGGTTATTTAAATATTAATGGTGTCCATTAATGGGGTCTAGGGATTGGCAGCAGGAAGATTGAGAAATTGGATGGCATGATTCATATGTTTCTGTCCCCAGGAAAAAGCTCTTACTCGAAGAGCTGCTTCCATTATTTTTTTAAATAGTGCATACATATATATATACATAAATTTTTTTTCTGAACCAGTTAGAGAGTAAGATTGTTTATTTCAGGCGTTCCTTGGAAGTAGCTATGCTGTAAAAGCATCGGTGTAAACAAGTTCACATAATTTTTAAAAATGTTTTAACAGAGCCAGAGAGGTCATTACCCTGGAGCTTCTTGGGAACCTAATTTCAGTTCCTAAATTCATTTTGTTCTTTATTATAGTCAATAACAGGCAAAAGCATTTTTTATGTCCGTACTGGATTTGGTTGGCCTTATTTACATTAAATGTGGGGAATTCTATTAAGTTAACTGAGAGGCGTGACAAGGGTTATATATTCAATCACATTATAATTATAAACCTTTATCTTATTGGGGAAATGTGCCTGAAAAGCTTTAAAAATTTGCTACAACCAGTATTTTTATGTTATGCCAAATTGGGTTGTAATAAGCATGTGGTTAAAAGATTTTTACACATTATGTATTTTTAAGATGTTCTAATGGCTTGGCATTTTAAAGCACTGAACAAAAGCAGGCATTGTGTTTGCATAATTGTGTATCTCTTTTTGCATCCAGAAATGTGAGCGTGTGGAATACTAACTCATTTCATGTATTTTATTTAGAATTTACAGCTAAGAACATGAGTAATTTTTCATGCTTAAATAGCAGGAGTGCAGTCATATAACAGCCCTGGTGTGCTTGTTCTGATTTCCCACTTATCAAGGTCAGGGTTAGGGTGAGACAAGAGAGGCACTGCCTCAGGTGTAAAACTTGGTGTCAGAAAAAACCTCAACATCAATAGTATTTTATTTTAATGTAGTAATTAAAAAACTGTGTCATACTGAGAAAAGTTAATGATATAAAAATGGTCAGCATTCTAGATGAAGCTGAGATATGGCCCGGCATCTGCACCTCCCTCGCTTCTCCCTAGTCCTGGTCTTGAGTGCGGTTAAGTCCTGGTTTCTCTACTTTCATGTCCTTGCATGAAGACACTCTTTTGATTCAAATTTTCCTATCTGAACTTGTTGACAATAATCCTCACTTTCCTAGTATCAAGGAATTTTTCCTTGGCCAAATTTTAGTTAGGCTTCTGAATCTTCTGCTAGGCTCATTTGTGTACTTCCTTGCAATGCTCGGTTTTAGCAAAGGACGCTGCTGAGTAGTTTTATGAAGAACCACCAAGACCAACATCTGACTGCTTCAGTGTCTGACCAGGTTTCTCATCCTGTCTGATCATCCTGGCCTGTCTTCAGCACGAATCCTATTAGGTCAGTTTAGCCAGATCCACCTTACCCCAGTGCTTCCTTTGAGTAATTTTTCATCCACTGACCCCCACAGTGCTCCTTGGCTATAAATTCCCGCTGGCCCATGCTGTGTTTGGAGTTGAGCCCAATCCCTCTTCCTTGTTGCAAGATCCTGTTAACTGCAAGGTCCCTATGCCTGTCTTTATCCTGATAAAGTCTTTGTCTCCATGCTTTTACATAATCATTCAGTCATTTTTTCTTTAACACTGGTGAAATTAGATTTAAATCAGCTACACGGGCAAGCCCACTATAAATATAACTCACATATTGATGTATATGTAAATCTTTATACAATTTTATACTGTCATTATCATGCCAGATGAATCCAGATGAATATTCTAAGCAAACACCAGATTTAAAGATCTTTGGAAGGCTTTGTGCTAATAGCTTGGGGCCTAATGTCCTGAATTTACTTATCAGCTAGCAATGAGGGGAGAGTCCTAAGGAGAGTTGTAGGACCTTCCTTTCTGGTTTTTGTTGTTGTTGTTGTTGTTACTGTTGTTCTTTGATACAAACTGGGGGTTATAGGAGATAGAGGACATAACCAGAAATGAGTTGCTTCTTTGAAGTTTCCTGGCAAAGTGTGCATGCATGCCTGAGGTCTCACCTTTGCGTAAGCTCTTTCCACCCACCTGTGATGCCTTTCCCATTTCTCCCACCTCTCTGAGAAACGTTCACCTTTTATTTAACATTCACATCTGACTTTGGTAAGGCCTTTCTATGATCTCTTGGCCTGAAATGTGCTGTCAATCCTCTGCTCTTCTGTGGTGGCATAACGGTTTCTACAACCCATCTATGGTCTTTTACAGAGTTCTTGTGGTCCTGAGACTTTATCCAATCCTCCACTGAATTTGCTTTCCATACTGAATCTTTAAAAATGTCAGTGATTCACACCTATACTCCCAGCACTTTGGGAGGCTGAGGTGGGAGGATTGCTTGAGCCCAGGAGGTCAAGGCTACAGTGAGCCATGATTGTGCTACTGCATTCTAGCTTGGGCAACAAGCAAGACTCTATTAAAAAAAAAAAAATGGTAGTTTAAAAATTACTGACATGGTAAATCCCTTGAAGACTCTCCCATTAACCTGTGAATGTAAGGGTGAGCAGGGATTGAGTGTGCTTATTTGTGGTGCTATCCAAGGTGTTTGCAAAGATCTTTACACACAATAATTTTTTAAGTGAATAAATGAATTTCTTACATGTAAAAGGGCCAGGTAAATATTTACTCTTTTGATTCATTTGTGGAATGCTGTTTTTATCCTAGACCTGGAGAGATGGTTGATACCACGTGGAAGGTGATTGTTTGGCTGGTCTTGCTGACACCTGGCCCCTGTGATGGACTGTTTAGCTCCTTATTCAGAAGTGTTCCCATGCCACCTAAGGGAGACGGAGGACAGCCGTTATTTCTTACCCCTTACATTGAAGCTGGGAGTATCAAGAAAGGTAAGTAAGTTTAATTAAATGAGAAATTACCACTGCTACGAATTCAACAGTTTTTCTTAAAACAGGTAATCCACAGAATGCAAAATATATTTCAGTATTTTTACTGAGTCGTTTTGTTTCAAAAAAATTTTTTTTTTTTTTTTTTTTGAGAAAGAGTTTTGCTCTGTCACCCAGGATGGAGTGCAGTGGCACAATCTTGGATCACTGCAATCTCCGTTTCCCAGGCTCAAGCAATTATCCTGCCTCAGCCTCCCGAGTAGCTAGGATTACAGGGACCCAACACCAGGACTGGCTAATTTTTTTTTTTTTTTTTCTTTTTGAGACGGAGTTTCGCTCTTGTTACCCAGGCTGGAGTGCAATGGCGCGATCTCGGTTCACCGCAACCTCCGCCTCCTGGGTTCAGGCAATTCTCCTGCCTCAGCCTCCTGAGTAGCTGGGATTACAGGCACGCGCCACCGTGCCCAGCTAATTTTTTGTATTTTTAGTAAATATGGGGTTTCACCATGTTGGTCAGGCTGGTTTTGAACTCTGACCTTCAGTGATCCGCCCATCTCGGCCTTCTAAAGTGCTGGGATTATAGGCGTGAACCACTGTGCCCGGCCTATTTCAAATATTACTGACTTGATATCATATGTTATCTGAGTTTTTAGCTCAAATTAGAATTAGCCAGGGCTGAATTACCTGCATGGTTGAGTTGCAGCATTTTATTTTTAAGACTACTAGAGTGCCTGTCCCCCAGTGGGCACTTAATGCTAATACTATCCTTAAAACTTACTATGAGTCAATCACTGGTTCCAAGCTTTCTGCATGAACTTATTTAAACATCTCAACTTCCCAGGGAGGTGCCCATTTTACACATGTGAAACCAAAGCAGAAAGAGATTGAGCTACTAGCCAGAGTTCATGCAGATAACAGCTGGTGTGAAGGCTTTATATTAAGACAGCCTCACTACAGCCTCTCTGCTGTGCCCCCTCAGCCAGCATGTC